CTGGGTATTAAATTTTTGTTTATTATATGCTGTGTGGTGATATCGACTCCTAATTATGGACTGTCTTTGTATGTCCCTATTATGTTCTTGGTGAACAGAAGTTCTTCATTTTGATGGGGTTGTAGACATCCTTTTTGGAAAATTGCTTCCTTTTGTGTTTTACATAAAAAAAAAAATTCTGGGGGGGCCTGGGTGGCTCAGTGGGTTAAAGCCTCTGCCTTCGGCTCGGATCATGATCTCAGGGTCCTGGAATCGAGCCCCGCATCGGGCTCTCTGCTCAGTGGGGAGCCTGCTTTCCTTCCTCTCTCTGCCTGCCTCTCTGCCTACTTGTGATCTCTGTAAAATGAATAAATAAAATCTTAAAAAAAAAGAAAGAAAAAATTCTGTAATTCATAATAAAGACTTGGTTCTCAGATTTTTTTTTTCCTTCTGAAATTTTTTGAATTTTTGTTTTCCTATTCAAGTCCTTAACCCATATGGAATTAATTTTTGTGCTAAATTTAAAAAAAATAAAAGCTCCTTTGGGAGAATAAAGTGCTTTATTTCAGTTCAACTTAATTAAGAAATACTTGTCCAGTTTTCAGATTTTACCTTTCCCAAACTGAGGTGTGTGTATATGTGTGTGTGTGTTCACTTTTTTTGGGGGTGTGGGTGGGAAAGAGAATCAAAATAGTTATGTCATAGAGATGATGAAATAAATGAAGTAAAATCACTAATCAATTAAAAATAAATGTATTGAGATTATGGTTTAGCTAAGGACTTCCCTGAAAATTTCATATAACAGAGGAAAATAACTCAGACTCTGCTTTATAATCATTTATCCTCTTAAGACAGTATTATTTGTTAAATAGAAGTCAGCTTTTAAAAAAAGAATTTGCAAAACAATAAATAAAAATAAAAAAATAAAAAAAAAGAATTTGCCTTGTATTAATGCCCATTTTAGGGAGGTAATTTAAAATTATGGAAAATGACAAGAAAATAGGTTATTTACTAAAAAAGACAACAGTAGTCTCTGAAAACCACTTCCTTTTAACTCCTTCCCTCCTCTCACCAAAACAAACTAACAACAACGACAACAACAACAACAACAACAAAAGGCAGAAGATAAAACCATAGCATTAGAGGAAGGGTGTAGACAACAATGTAATCTATGGAGTACTTGGGTATGTGTTTAGCCAGAACAATTTTTATGCATTACTGATGCTGAAGGATGACACAGCCCAGTGGGTTATAGTCCAGATCATGCATTCTGGAATCTCTCGTGAAGCTACTACCTACGACCTTCCTCTCAGAGGTTCTGATTGCTGTGACCTGGGATAATGCCCTGGAATTGGGAAGTTTCGAAACTTCACAGGTGATTCCGATTTTGTTATGGATAAGAACCACCGCCTGGGGCCAAACTCCTCATTTTACAGATTGAAAAACAAGGGATGGAGATCTCCACAGCTCGCTGTGGCTGACCCATGGCGGAATCAGTGCGGATTCCAGTTAGTTCTCTTCCTACGCAACATCATTCACCCTGCGCAGGCCCAGCAGAGGGTCCTGCTCATTTCCTACATCATTTATCCTTGTCTACATTTTATGGCACTGGGCCTATCATAGATGTTTAGTAAATATTAAATGAATGAATTCCTATCTCATGTCCAATTGCCAATACTGGCCATGTTGGAAAAACCTGCCAATGGAAGTCGAGTATACAAAATGGATGAGGTTTGCAGAAGCTCAGAGCATTGAGAATGTTTTTGATTATTTTTGGACTCAACAAGCTGTCCCCACACCACCCTAGAGTCTGTAGGGACTTCTGTCAGTTTCCATGGCATCAGCTAAGTGTAGAGATTTTAGGGCAAGTTGGGGGCACATGGAATGTGTCTGGGGTGGGAGAGAAGGGTACTAGGAAATCTTACCCCTCTGCTACATGCAAAAAGAAGGGAAAGAATTCACTACCAGATTTTATTAGGATTAGCCACAAGCTTGAAGATGGGAAATATAAAAATGGCATGGAGTTTTCCCTGAACTGGGGCACACATCCACATAGAAGTCCTACATGAGGAAAGGGGAACAGCATGGTTTGTAGAATAATGGCATCCAATAAGGATGAGCTCACATGAAAGTGTGTGCCTACTTGGTATGATTTACAATCTAGGCTTTTCTCTTATGAGTTCTTGTCAGGAGCACTTAGGCATTTTATTTCCTCTCAAATGTCATGGGCCTGGACCCCACCCCTAGAGACTTAAATTCTGCAGAAACAGGGGGATTCTGATGCATATGCTTAATTAGTTCAGGTCAAACTGACCTTTGTCTCTCACACAACCTGCTGATGTCTGAAATTCCACACAGAGCCATAATCATTTGTTGACAAGCCTATCTCTTTAATATGAAAATTGCCCAGGGAGAGGCTACAATTAAGGGTTTATCAATTAATGATATTTTCAGATAATGAGTGAATGTGTTTCATCACTTGCTTTCCTTGGATGTAGTTTTGATAATAACCTTTACCAAAATAATAATGGATTTCTAGCCTACCGTCTGTCACTCTTCTATCTTCTGAGGAACACACCCTCCTTAAGGTTGGACAATACTTTCCAGTTGGCTCTTTTACCATTTAGTCATCATTTGTAGCATATCCCCTGTTCGTGGATGAGGAAAATAAAGCAACTTCTCTTGGCATTCTCTTCTATCACCACCAGCCTTGATGAGGAAGAAACTCAGTTTGAGAGAAATAGGACATTCAAGTGGGCAGAGTTACTCAGTTACTTGATAGATGGCCCAGAAGCACAATAGTGCATTCCCAGGTTCATAAAGTGAGTCAGATCCTATCCCAAACCACAGCAGCTTTCAAGCATGGTGATCTTGAAATAAATAATTAGAAAAACAAGCTAAGGGTTTATTTTTTTTTATTTAAAAAACACAATTTATTGAAAAAGAGTAAATGCTTTATACAAATTCCCATTACAAAACTCCAAAATATCTATTTGTCTGTTTCCAGGCACAGAAGCAGAATACAAAAATATCAAAATTGGATGAATTCTGGTGTACCAATTCTGTTGGCCATTTTGGACTATCAATTTCTCTGTAGAGTTTAGCAACCAGTAACCACCATGCATTTACACTCAGACATCATTAGAACCTTTGTATGTAGCGAAGACTCTTTGAATTATACCTTCTAAGAACATAGAGTTTCAGGTTTGGAAGACATACTAAACTTTATGGATTCATACCTTCATATGATGCAGTCCTTTGGATAACTCCCCTGATGTGGTTTCACTATGAATTACCATTCCCAAACTACCTATTTGAGCAGTGCTCCCTGCCAGCTAAAGCAACACCTCTGATAGCATCACTTAATAGAAACTCACCTTGTATACTCTTGCAAATTATTTTAATTCAAAAAAGTCTTCTGTACCTTGGCTTTGCTGATGCTTACACATCTACATTCTAAGTGTAAGGTCTGCATTACTGAAAGGAGAAAAGCTTAGCCATAAAAAGCATCAGGCCACACCCACTGAAGAAACTAAGACTTCCTTAGAATCTTTTTCATTTAGAAGGCGAATTTCACTTCAGTGTCTCATCACATGAGAGATTAAGGCAAGAAAACCATTTCTTAGAATTTCTCTCCTTCCAGGGATTTGAAAAGCAATCCTAAACCAATTCACTTAAATCCTTAATTCTTTCCCCAGAACAGTATACATTTTTTTTTCTTTACCTTTTAAAACCACACTTACATGTATCCCATCTTACTGGATCCCCACAACAGCCCTGTGAGGTAGGCAAGTCAAGAATTACAATCTCCTTTTTACAGATGAGGCACTGAATCTAGGGCAGCCAAGTGCCTTGCTGAAACTCAAACAGTAATTGATAGCACCAAGACTCAGATCAGGTCTCCAGTCACCAAAGCCAACACCTTTCCATTACATCATCGAGTGAAGTAGCAATTTCTCAGTCAGGAAAACTAAGAGCAATTGTTAAAATGGAACGGAGAACCAAAAGCATGCTAGACACCGTTCATAGAAAGGAGATGGGCCAATGAAGAAAGGAAGGTGCCAACCGATATAAAAATGTGTGCATAGGTTTGATTCTGTGACTTAACCGCCAACTGAGCAAATAAAAACACTACTTAAGCATGGTTCATGTTCAAAGAATGAGCATAACATCAACTAATTAATACTCACACCGCCTCTACCAGCTGGTTAAGTGTCATTATCTCAATTTGACAGATGGGAAAAGAGGAGAAAGACTAAGTGACTTGCTTACAGTTAGAGAGAGAATATCTGTCATCAGATTATCACTACAGGAAGTCTAATACTTCATTCAGACCAAACAGATGAGCCATTTTCTCTCTAGAAAGGGGTAAACTACATGATAAATACATCGGAGAAAACAATACAGTTGAGGTGGGTGGGGGAGAAAAAGATAGTTTGAGGGCATACACAACTGTGAATAAGTAGCTTAAAAATTCAATCAATAAAATTGTGTTACAACACTTGGGAAAGCAGCACACAGCAACTGAATCAGACAAATATTTTCAAAGCAAACAAGAGCACTGTAGGTCAGAGTACAGAAATCGTGTGGAAGGTCAACAGGAACATATCATCTTGGTCTTGCAGAAAGACATGCTCCCAAAGTTCTGATCTGCAAGAGATTCTTCCTGACTCTCAGAATTATATTGTAGGCTTATGAAATGTGTTATCAGATTCAAGATTTAAGCTCAACCTCATAAAAAAAAAAAAAAAGGCATGAAGGATGATGAAAGCACATGCTATGAGATCATAATTAAAAATAATATAAAAGAAGCACATGAAAAGCCACATGTTAGGAAGTAAAAAAATCCATACTTAGTAAAGCAGGTTAGGTCTTTTGTCAAAGATGCTAAAAGCTGATGAAAGAGAGAAAATAATATTTCACCTATTATATATGTATCCATATAGAAAAAGAAAAATATACCAGATAAACTGCTTTTTAAATCAATATAGAATTAAATATATTTTTCTTTTTTTAGATATATTTTAAGCATACTGGTACCAACATAATAAGAGTTTTTGCTATCTAACTTTTAATAGAAAAACATGTATATGTACATATCTATATATATTTAAGGAGCTCCCCTTCCCCACATTTGAGATGATTACTCAGTGGGAAGCAGTATAAAAATGGAAAAGGCTTCCCTCCTGCATTGAGGAAAGGAGATAAAATAAAACTAAGCCATTTTTAGCAATGCGTATTTTAAAAAAATAACTTTTTTTTGTTTTTGCATTTGTTGTTCTTTTTTGCAATACCGTAGTTCATACTACAATAGTCAAAAGTCTAAAGTCCTAATGTCAATGACAGTATTTCAATGTCCACTTTCTATTTGTTTCAACAGCTGCTGTCTCCTTTTGCTTCTGTGTCACACATAGTCTTTCCCACTGGAAGGTGCAGGTTTTGGATAGGGCCGCGGTGTTGGGTAAGATGTTGTTTTTCGGGGACAGGAGCAGCAAAGTAGGGCACCTCCCAGAAGGCAGAGAGAGGCAGCAGCCCAGCCAGTAAAGAGAGCCTGACCAAATTCATACCTGAAAAGACAGTGCATTACTTTAGTCAATGAATCATTGGGAATTTTGTAATATAATTAAGGAAGGAAATCAACATCATAGTCATTATACTTTTTCCCACTGGGAAAAAATCCTCCATAGTCCCCTGGGAGAGGTACTCTAAGGTTCATGAATATGGACACACCAGAATGTTCACATGGCAGTTGTAGGCGCCCTGCAATATAGCTCAGGCAATATGGTCTGCAACACCAGGGTAATCACACAAATATATCCTAAGACTTCATCACATGTAGGAGACTTGTGAAGTGTGTTTATGTATTTTAGAAGTCGAGTTTGGACCATGATTCCCAGGCTAAAACTTTACAATTATGCTATTGCCAAGTAGCAACCATATCCTATAAAGAAATTGCTGGCAAGTGATGGAGACCAATGAAATTTTCAATAGTTGATCCGAGGTATCTCTATACACTGAGATCAGAAATCACAAAAAAGACTTCTAAGCAATCCATAGACCATTCTGGATTTAGCTGATATAGGTGGGTGCATGGAGCTGGCCTCCTGCGGAGAGACTCTGTGAATGATGGCAAGATGGTAGGGCAGAGCAGGCCTGGCCTTGAGTCCCGATGCAAACTCTCTAATGCTACACTCTTGGCTAGTAACTTCACCTCCCAACCTTAAATTTCTGCTTCTCTCTCTCTGTTGTTGTTGTTTTTTTTTTTTAAAGATTTTATCTATTTATTTGACAGACAGAAATCACAAGTAGGCAGAGAGGCAGGCAGAGAGAGTTGGGGAGGCAGGCTCCCTGCTGATCCCAGGACCCTGAGATCATGACCTGAGCTGAAGGCAGAGGCTTTAACCCACTGAGCCACCAGCCGCCCCAATTTCTGCTTCTTTTAAGGCATGACAATCCCTTCTCCCTCACTGGACTGCTTTCAGGATCATGGGAGACAATGTAAATAACACATGGACAGTGCCAAGCAATTTATAAAGTGCTTTCACATACATTACTGGTAAAAATTTAGCCTATTGAGCATTTGCAGTTTCAGTTCCTATACTGTAAGCCTTACAGATCTAAGGCTCCACCGCGATCACGATCACTCCAGTATACGTTCTCCAGTGTAGGTGATTATATAAAGAGAAGCACACCTTCTCTCTCTAACCACAGGGATTCTGCATCCATCCATCCTAGCACGCAACCAATAATAATTCTGCCTGAACATTCTGACTCTTAATGAAGTCATTAGGCTTTAATGATGTGAACACAGTGACACAAAGAGCCTTGGCCCTGATCAAGGAGTGTTGTTACAGGAGAGCCCAGAATCAGCTCTTTTACTTCCACAAATCACAATTTAAATAAAAATGACTTTTGCAAAGCCAATTTTATAGCTGTGATGGAACATAAAATTTGAAAGTGGCATTTCAATGTATTTTTTCATAAATAAGTTAAATTTTGTTTTCCTACATAAAATTAAACTATTGGGAATGAAGTATTATTCATTAACCTCTATAATAGTACTATCTTTTTCAAACAATCATAAACCATGTTGTTAAGTTATAAAAAAAAATCACTTAATTAAGTGTTGGAAGTATTGGGACATACCACAAAAAGGAAATTTTAAATATGTTAACATCTTTATTGATATTTAAAAAAAATGAACCAGAAAAAAGGTCCAGTATACAGTTGGAAAGTACAGAGCTTGGAAATTTACTACTTCTAAGTGCATTTTGTCATAGATATAAGCTGTTAAAGCAATTACCAAGCTCATTTTAACATGAGTCACAGGACTTTCAGATTATTTTCAAGTTTGACTAAAATTTCACAAAATTCCAGAAAGCAAATCTGAGAAGTTATGGCACTGGCTGGACTTTGTAGGAGATAAACAGGGTATTTTCTTTCTTTTTTTCTTTTTTAAAGATTTTATTTATTTATTTGACAGAGAGAGATCAAAAGCAGGCAGAGAGGCAGGCAGAGGGAGAAGGAGAAGCAGGCTCCCTGCTGAGCAGAGAGCCCGAAGTGGGGCTCGATCCCAGGACCCTGAGATCATGACCTGAGCCTAAGGCAGAGGCCTTAACCCACTGAGCCACCCAGGCGCCCCTAAACAGGGTATTTTCTAAGAGAGCAAACTATTTTACACATGAATAGCATTACCTGGCATTGACCGGGGTCATGGGGTCATAAAATTCTTGAACAATTCTATTGCCATACCATGCTGTGGCAACTAAAACAGCCAGACCTACAGAAATTAAAAACAAAATACTGTTAGTCACTATGAATCAATGAGCATAAATATACAGCCCATGAAATTTATAAGCATTTTACAAGAATTAAAACTCATCAATAGTGCTGACATTTTTAATTTAGTCAGTTTTTATTTAGATAATTTTCACTTAGGGAGATTAGAGATTCGGACATGATTTATTCCAAATACTCTCTTAAGACAGACAAAAATATTAGGCTGAAGTAGGGCATAGTTTATACTCGTGATGTCACCTAATTCACTTACAGTCCAAAGTCATGGACAATTATAATGCTTTTTTCAAAACAGTTCAACAGGCTGATGTCAGTTAAGAGCTCCTTCAAAGATATTGTTACACATTAGTATACTAAACTACTTTTGATAAGACCAAAGTCCTTATTAGTATACACAGAGTCACTTGCAAAAGGGAGGGTGAAAACCCATCTACATTTTTCCTGACCAAAATTCAAAATTTACAGTTCTGCAGAAGCAAAAGGAAAGTAAACACCTAGATAGCAGGGAGGAGCATGAGCTGTCTCAGTATGGACCAGACCACCCAAATCCTACTGCCCCGCTGGCCAGACATGCCAGGTACTGCCTGGAGATTTGCTGAGGTATCACATCAGAGCAGTTTATACAGCATCCTCTCAATTTCCCATGCATTTCGTATTTCAGTAATACCCAGGAAACTACTTAGTCAACATAATTACTTCTATCATTTATAAGAAGTATAAAAATATCTCAATATTTCTTATCCAAGGAAACTAAATAACTGCTTCATATAGTAATTATACAAAACCATCAATATAAATAGATTAAATATTTCCATGCTACTCCCTCTCCACCCCCCCCCCGCAAAAAAAACCCAGTCCAATCTAATTGCCTCTAATACTTGACAGAAAACACTACTGCTTTGGGCTGCTTAGATACACCATGAGAATATTCTGGAACTTGCCACCCTTACTCTGTAGGAAGTCCCTAAAACAGAAGTTGGGGTGCTGTAGTCACTTATGGGAGTTACAAGCAGGGAAGCAAAGGAAGGGCGCTATGCCATATGTTTATTTACAGCCTTTGGGATCAAACCATTGGGAATGAAATGCTATTCATACTTTTTCTGGCAAGAGCTAATTTGAAAAAACGGAAAGACTGATCCCTTTAACCAAATCTTTAGCAAAGCCACAGGCACTCTTCCTTCATTATTGGTTAAATCCACATACAATGCTGGGATAAAGGCTCCTAAAAAGTCTTTTTCCAAAGAGAAAATGAGAAAAAAAATTCTAATTCTAGCTCTTCCTAATGGTCGATTATATCACTGATCTCATTTTCAAAAACAATAGACTGTATATAAAATATACTGTATATATGTTTATATAATGTAAACTCTATTATTTTATGTATTTGCACACATACCATTTTTATCTGCACACATAATACTATCTTATTTAAGATAATCCTTATTTTAGGGTTTTATAATGGAACTATCCATGTCTTTTCCTGATACTCATTTTTCAAAGGTCACATATGTAACTCCTCAATCAACACTTGAATAAAACACAAACACATACGTATTTTCTATGGAAAATATAACTTCATTCCTTTATCAAGGTTTTCTCTTTCTTAACTCATCTAACCTAACCTCCTACTATTCCAGTCTCTACCTCCACTCCAACTGGCCGTCACTTCACTTGTCTATAGTACACCCGTTTATTCTGGAATCAGATCTGCCTATCTGGAAGGCTGTCCTCATCTTTCTCCAAGAATCCTGAATCCATCCACTCCTCGTAGACCTGTGTGATTCACACATTCTTCACATTCTCTGTCATAACTCCCCATCTTTGCCACATAATGTTCATGGAGACACTCCAGAAATTTTCTGAATTTTATAGAATCGTTCCTTAATGCTTGCTAAATAGAAAATATCCCTCTTCACCTGGGAGATTGGTTCTAGCAAATTAGTTGGCACCCGGAACCTCAATGAACAGAGCTGCTCACCGTGAGCACAGATCTCAGATTTTCATTTGGTCCTATTTGAGAATGTACAAGTCAACTAGACAAGGTTTCTATGTCTTCAAGATTTTAAAGGAACTGAAAAAAATCAATCCAAGGGCAATGCATCCAATAAAATGTAAGGAAACTCAAACCTAGGTCTTTACCCATGCCAGAGACCGATTAGTAAGGTGAAGGGGGCAGGGCCTCTCTTACCTGCAATAAGAAAGATCACGCCCCCAATGACAGCCATCCGCATCTTCTGCACCTCATCGTCTTCCAAGCACTTCATACACTTCATGCCAATTGTGGCCACAAAGATGGCTATCAGTCCCAGCAGGATGCCAATCACCATCAAAGCGCGGGTGGCTTGCAATGTACCTGGTGGGAAACATTTTAGAACATGTAAAAATCGTGCCTAGGGCAACCAGAGAAGAGTGATTGAAGGCCATGTATATTTCAATCATGTAAGGAAAAGATAAAAATGAACTAGGAGTCACAAGACCCCAGCTCCAATGATGTTTCCGCAGGTAACCAACACAATTTCCACTCCAGAGAAACAAACGCCTGGCTGGCTGATGAATGAGAAGCCTCCAGCTCTCACGTTTTATGTTTTTAATATGAACTTCAAATCCTCTGGAAAAATAATTAATGATCTGGTTGAATAGGTTTAGCAGAACTAATACATCTTTAATCCTCACTAACACAGTATTTTAATTCTGAAACAACAATCCTATGTATTATCCTTAATGTTAAACCATTTATAATTAAAATGGCTTACAATATACTTTGGTAATAGTCAACAGCTTTATACTCCAGTCGTCAAGCCTCAGAAAATAAAAACAAAACAGGTGAATTTGGAAGATAAGTAATGAATTTCTCAAAGATTGTCATGGCTGGATAAGTAACATCTGCGTCTCCAGTGAGTGGCCTGGGGGTGGGGGATATAAATGCCATTTTCTTAGAACAAAAACAAAATAACCTTTGAGATGTTACTTTGGAACATGGCAGTTTCATATTCAGAGATATCACCAATGTTCAAAACTATTAAACTGTCATATTGTAAAATAGCAGACAATAATTTAATGTAGTATTTCTCAAGATTACACTAATTTTCTGCTTTCCTGTTATTGTCATTGGGGTACTAAATCATGATATAGTCAGCTTTGGGAGATTATGCCAGTATGTTTAATAAAGAATAAACACATGATGCTATCATTGTGGTATAAAGGCACAGATTTAAAAAAAAATGAGCTGAAACTCCTCTAGTAAATGAGTTTGATTAATTCTAGATTTATTTCCTCCTTCTGGTAAAGATCATTATCCTACTGACAGTGTTTACAGGTGGCAATTATTTTTCCATGTATAAACGGTATTTACATTGTAACAAACCATGCTATCTTGGGTAAGCTACTTATTATTCTTTGGGACCATGTTTCTATTATGTAAAGTGTGAATGATGATATCTCTAACCAGGAAGTTGGAACAATTTACTTCCTGATGGTCTTCAAAAGTGGTCAACTTGGTGGCAAGGTTCTGTATTTCCCAATTAAATTGATATCTAAACTCAGTCTTACGACATTCAGGGTTGCAAACTTACATTACCAATCATTATTAGCTCTAGAGATTTCTAAGACATTCTATTTTAATTTGTTAATATTTATATCCTTGCCATAACCAAGCAATCTCTGCTAAAATCACAATAACCTCTAAGAGGAATCAAAAGTATTTTTTTTACTGTATTTGAGAGATATTTGGGAAGCCAAGATACATTTTTACTTGATTTAAGTAAACAGCAAAATGGAGACACTCCCCTCACATATCCAGCTCCTTGTAAACATGTGGGGCACACATGCACCCTACCCACACACTTCTCATAAGATTCCTGGGGAGTGTAAAAACTGCTGAATCAAAACACATGTTCCATGCACCGTGGGTTTCCCAGGAACTGAAGCTGTTTATAAGATTAGCATAAAACTTCTTCCTTGGATCACAAACAATCCTGTGGCAAGAAGAGGAAAGTACCAAGGAATCCACCGTTATGGCGTGCCCTGTCTTCTCATTTACTAAGAGTTTTTGCCAAGACAATCATTACGTGACACGAAATTGGAAAGTAAAATAACGAAATTCTAATACACAACACACATCTCAGATTTGGTCCTAAATATCCCTCAGAAGAAAGGCATTTCAGGCTAAAGAATGCTGGAAGGAGAAATACTAAAAATCACAAAAATAATCTACATGCCAGGAGGATAGGCTGAACTGCCGTCTGTTTGCCTGGCACTGTCTCGGTTTTAAAACTACAGGTCCTGCCTCCTAAGAAGGACCTGAATCCTGGACAAATGGGACATCTGGTCACTCTACTGGAAGGTGACAGAATATGACAAAATGAGGTGCATTTAGTGTGGTGCTCAGAAAGCTTAGATCCTACAGGGCTTTGCAAGCTAGAGAGCTAGAGTAAGGTGTTCAGCATTTACTCTAAGTGTAATCAGAAGTCCTTGTAGGGTTTTAAAGAATGGGTAGCAAGATTTTTACCTTCAGCAGAGAGAGACCCATTAGTAAATATTCTTCCTATGCTAACCCTTCAAATACACATAGCCTTCCACATCTCTCAGCCACTTCTTTTGTTTTTCTCATAAACACTGTTTTCCAACCTTTATTAATCACCTTTATTGTTAATCTCTGATCTCTGTCTCCAAGTTTTCCACTTTGTTTGAGTTGTAAGAGCCCCAACCCGATCCAGCTCCTATAATAATCATTCTGATCTGCACTTCATGTAAAAACAGCCGGCCACCAGCCCAGCAGGTCTGAGCACACGGATCACAAGGTATTCTTCACGAGGAGTCTATGGGGCCTCTCAGTCCCATGAGTCAGACTTGCACAAAACCACCCAGGCAGGGAGCACACACAGATAAACCACTCCAGGGCTCCATCTGTGCTCACCTGGAATGATCTAACATTCAAGTTTTCATCTCTGATTTTTTCCCCTTCACGTTCTCCAGGAAAGCACACATGATTCATACCATACTGATTTTATTCTTCCCACCTTGTTCACAAAGTCTCTAAGGGGGAACGAAGCAGATATTTTGTTTTGTTCACTAACAAAACCCTATGTTTTCTTTATAGAATGATGACTTATTTGTGTAATGCACAAAAAATAATGGAGGAAATGGGGGGGGAGTCATATAATCATATAAGTCATCTAAAGCAGGGGATCATGCTTCATTTTTAAAAATATGATAAAGCAAGAGCATTTTTTTTAAGATTTTGTTTATTTATTTGTCAGAGAGAAAGAGCGCACAAGCGGGGTGAGTAGCAGGCAGAGAAAGAAGCTCCGCTAGAGCAAGGAGCCCAATTCGGGGCTTGATCCCAGGATGCTGGGATCATGACTCAAGCCAAAGGCAGCTGCTTCACCGACTGAGCCACCCAGGTGCCCCAAGCAAGAGCATTATTTTGCAAAGCAGTATTTCTCATCTATATCTTGACATCCTTTGACTTAAAAATTTCTTTGTTTTTTATGCTACTGGATGGGCATCAAACACAAAAATCTCATCTTGCTCCACTGGAGACAGTTGGATGAATTCTGAACTATAGTGATATGTAGGGGTGGGGAGGATGTTAAGAAAACAAAAACAAAAACAAAAACAAAACAGGGTGAGAATCATAACAACATGAAAACTCACTAGTCAGGAATATTTAACAATGGATTACAAAGTCACAGTAAGCAAGTGTTGTGTTACAAGTTATGACGGTTTTATGTGGAGATAGAATCTAAATTGCACAGTTTTAAGCTGGAACCAGATGAATCCTTCAAATTAAGGTATTATGGAAGCCTTTTAAGTCAAAGATCTAAAATATGTAATTGTGAGCTCCTTGATGTCTTGGACCAGATATTTTTCAATCCAAAACACTAAGAACAAAACCTGACAGGCTACATGGGTTATTCAACCTGTTTTCAATTATCTCAAATTAGCACATGTCTTTAATTTTTCAAAACTGCACTAATACTATAGGGAAAAATACTTACTCTCCTATGGTTAGCTTAATCTTTGATATACTACTGAGAAATGCCTCCCTAGTGAACCTGGAGATAACAAAATTTTGCTATATAAAGCCAAACTTAGTTTCAATCATTAAAAGCCAGAAACTTATACAAGGAGGAAAAAAATCATACTTTTTTGCTTAACTTGATTATTTTCTTTTAATTTTCAAAATCTTAAAATTCTGCTTTGAATGAGCTTCCAAGATGAAGTTTTTCTCCTATTGGAATGATGATGAGCAGGGTAGAGAAGTTGAGAAATATTTGAAAGCTACACAATAACATTTTGGACCAGAGAGATACAGGAGAGCCTTGAATTATTAACTCTGAGCTAGTCTAATTGGATCAACTCTAGAAGCAAATATGATCCTTTCCTGGCCCTGTAAATTTAGAGATGCCGCTACAAAATTATCATCACTGACTAAAGTTGTCTGTGGAGAAAATCGTTTGCAAACATTCAAAAAGTTCCACTATTGTCTCCCATCATTATTCAGCAGAAGAGAGAGGAGGCAGTCTTTTAATTACATTTAGCTAGACCGATAATCTTGAGATTAAAGACCCCCTAAGGAGTTCTCACCACTTTCAACCTGAAAGTATAATTTGAAAAAATACTTACAAAGATCTCTACTTACAAGACAAGAAATGAGTGAGAAGTTACTGATCTACTACAGTTGGGTTAATCAACTAAGTGTGGAAAGACAAGCACAGACAAGTACATCAATTTTTTTTTTCTAAAGGTTGGTAGAAGCCTAAATATACAAGCAGCAGAATCTGCTATAAATACCTGATGTTGCTTATGCTACTTACTGGCCATACAGTTATATTATTACCCTGTATAGTATGTATCAAACAAAACTGATTTTAATTAAACCTGCATCCTCACGCAGTCCCTCTACATGAGTGGTTCCTTAATAAGTATTAAACAGGCAAATGAACTGACCATCGGGTGATTAGAACAAACATAGTCTCTTCTCTGCAGTTCAGTGAGCTCATCACAGGCCGTCACACGATCATATTCCCATGACTTTTTCACTTGGACTCAACTTTGAAGTTTCTCAGGAGTTCTCATTGTTAGGATTTCTATTTTCTTGGTGCACAAGCTGTTGGCCCATGGGTATGACCTCAATACACCACCTTAGTCAGTAACTGAAGGGGTCCGGGATGAGGCAGGACTTACCACTTTTCAGGATGTCCTAGTAGTTTTGCTATCTTTTTTGCTTGTTTCTTAGAGAAGCTGCTTCATGATTAAATTTATGTTTCTCTTTTACCACTTACTCATCACTCCAATCAAGGAAACTTAAACTATGCCACTTGCTTCTTTGTCTTCCATCATGGCAATTAGTAACAAAGAATGTTGACACTGGAAGGAATCAATACTGACACCTTATAAATCATCTTAGCTGCATCCCTGGGAGCAAGAACAGGGCCCGGCTTACATTTATTGAGTGGATGAGTGAGCTGTGGGTTCATCTCCCCATTCCTCTTACTCTGCACTGTTTTATAAGGTTTCTAAAATAAGCTCTATTTTATTTCTCTTCACCCCAGAAAAATCAAGTGGCTCACCATAATATACATAGCTAGTTAGTGCAAAACCAGGGTGAGAATTGAGAACTTAAGACCTCAGACTTGGATTTTTCTTTTTCTAGTTCCATCATTCCAAGCGTTGGAACTAATTCCCATTCGAACACCAATGGCTTCTTGAATGCCCTTAGTATGTGGCAGGCATTATGCAGTCTAGGGACGTGTAAGTGGGTGCCTTCCTCTTTGCCTGTGCTTTGAGGACTTTCAAGACTTTCAAATCCAAGTCAGTGATTTCGTCTCTTTGACTGAGCCTGACATCATGGGGAGAGTGCTGGGAAACCTCACTGACAACCAATACTCATTAAGTACACCTACACACATGTGGATTCATGCAAAGCAAGTAGAACAGGCTAGAGGAGCTTATAAACAAATTACAGAATCTCAAGGTTAGATGAGACTTAGAGAGAGTCTAGCCTAACCTTCCATTTGTCTGGTGCTTGGATTTTCCCTACAACATTCCTCCAAAATGCTTACTCCTCTGCTTGCACACCGCCCACAATGCACCCTCCCAGAACAGCCCAGTCCTCAGACAACTTTAGCTATTAAAATCAAGCAAGAAGAAACAATTAACTAAGGACCTAAAATAGGCACAAGCTTGCCAAAAGCTTGAGAACTGGATCAACAGAAGGCAAGATGTAGTTTAATCCAGAAAAAGTCTACTGCCGTTGTACCTGGTGCCACCCTCCGTATGCGCCAGCTCTCGGTTGCTGGAGTCCTCAGTGTCAATCAACATCGCATACTTGGGATGGACAATGAAGTTGTCTCAGCCACAGTAAAACCACAACACACGGTATAATATTTTGCCCCCCCCCAGGGAAGTTTCTCGGTTACATTTTCAGAAACTGTTGTGCAAGGACCACCTAAAAGGAGCTCTGTCGTACCTCATTTCCTATATTGGTTTAAATAACCCATAACCTTTTAGGTATTTTATGAACGTCATGTGCTTTTTATAGCTGACACTAGTTAGAGCAAGGAATCAAGGGCTCTTAACACATCTAGTGTTAGAAACCTTGATAAATTTCTGTGTCTCCACCCTAAGATGCCAAGTGGGCTCCACTGGCAGAGAGCAAGATACACTCTCAGGAAACTTCTAGCCAAGCTAGAAGCTAAAAGCACTTCCTGGAATGCAACCCTTTACAAGGAAAGATACTTACATCCAGGATAACCCAGTTTTCTTCTAGACATCACAAAACTGCACCAAAACCAGCCAATGAATCACCACCCCAGGTCTCTACATCAGAGGGGAGTGAGGACCACATTCCAGGCAGAGAAAAGGAGACAGGTTCCCTGCGCTCTGTTCAAAGGCCTCCAAGGAGTCATTGGCAGATTGGGAGAGCACCTATGAGTCAAGGCTCCCTCTTCTGGGAAACCGTTTTGAGAGAAAGGCCTCAGCTCCACCTTGAATAAACCCTGGTTTTAACCAAAACAAAAAGAGGAATCAGATCTGGAGTTAAAAAAAAAAAAATCAGAGGGAAGAAATCTCTAAAATCTGTATGGGGAAAAAGGGTATGGTTTAGTTCTTCTACTACACTTCAAAAAGTGTAACAACTATATTAACCAGGAATAAATGAAAATAAAACATTTTAACACATTACTGTGTATAGCAATGGCCTGTTGGAGTATTTACAACATGGATCAATATGGTCATGCATTCTATTTGGTCACCTAAGGAAGTAAAAGGAAACCTATTTAAACATACTGAAAATGAACTGCTTTGGTCAGAAGAATGAGAGATGTTTCTGGAATTGCCTTTAAAACCTCCTCCATCTGCCAAGTCCTCGACATGACACCCAAAATGCCTGACTCCATTTCCTTACACACATTTATCTTTTCACGGGGAGATTCAATGATGATATGGAGGGGTGTGCTTCATATACTTCTTATATTTGGTATAAAGGGATCCTAATATGGGAGCTTTGAAAAGTTGAAGTGAAAACGCTCAAACCACCATGCACATTGACGAACCAAATCCCACAGGTGTGAAAGCTGTTTAAACAGATTCAGAACAGATTTAATAACTCTAAGCTGGATGGGTATTGACCAAACCACAGGCCGGAGGTGGACGGGGCAGCTGAAGGAAGCTTGAGCAATGGCAACATGGCTCACCCTCAGCACATGAGGTGGGCTGGTGGACAGTCTTGTTTATCCAGCCAAAGACTAAAGAAGCTTTTCTTCAAGTTAGTTGGAGGGCATGACAGACAAACGTGCAGGACAACTAACATAGTATCTCAAGGAAGGTACTCTGGCCATGAATTATTATGACCTCAGTAAGTGGGAATTTAAAGAGTTTCTAAAAAGTCACTCATAACCCTGTACCTAAAAAAAAAAAAAAAAAAGAAGAAGTAAAAAGGCCATCCTATCATCCTTCTTCCCATAATCCCTAGAAATAGCCCTGTCTACATAATTCTTTTCAGCTTGACAGAAGAACGGACATTCCGTTACACAGAAATTAAGGAAGATGGAAGCTTGGAGAAGACCCACCATTTCTCTCACTACCTTCCTCTCTGGCTGAGCTCTGCCTTCAGCAACTGAGTCTCCTTGCTTTATTTTCTCCAGTGCCTTCACTCTCCTTCGTATTATGATGGGAGCTTAGTTAGAACTTTTCTTCCTTGTCACCCTTTTCCACCTGCCACCCAACTTCACTTTCCAAAATAACACTACACTATCTGTCTCCTCTGCGGATTCCTGGCTTGAAAGCTAAACCCTTCAGGGGAATCTCAAGAAGCTTCTTGAAGGGGTCATAGGAGGGGATTCAAAGGAGCCTCCCCATACTTACTGGATCTTAAAAAGCAAATATATCAAAAGATTCAAGCTCAAGTGTTAGTAGTAGACACTAGGTTGGGATATTCTGCATAGAAATGTGACTTTTACTATAAAACTCAGAGTAAAGATATATTTAACAGCCCCTCTCCCAATTTACCTAAAACTTTAGGATTACCTATTAATTATAGAATCCAGAAAAGCTACCAGGGTCCAATCTTTTCAAAGCAACCTGTTTTCTTGTCCAAACCCCACCACTCTTCAGTTTATAGAGAATTTTACAATGTCCAGAAAAAAACTTAAGAGCTCAAGTTGGAGGTTGGCCTTCACCCACTCGATCTCCACCTCACTTCATGGGAATTTAAGATGAAACCACACCTAGTGGAAAAGTGTCACCTGGCGACTTAGAGGAAAAAACAGAGCTGAGGCCAGGGCTTCTCTTTTCCCAAACCACAGCTTTCTCGCTTCCTCACGATAAAAGCACATGATCAGAAGACTTGATCAACTGAAGTTTCACAACCACGTAATTACACCACAGAATCAATCGGTAGCCACTACTCCAAAGCGGAGCCACTGGGGGGCTGGGGTTTCAGGTTCCTGGAGACGGGGGTGGGGAAAGCACTCACTGTTCAGATTCAGCAAGGAGTCGAAGACTTTGCACTGAATCTGCCCGGTGCTCTGCGACACGCAGGACATCCACAGCCCCTCGTAGATGGCCTGGGCCGTCACGATGTTGTCCCCGGCATAGGAGTAAATCTTCCACTGGGGCAGTGCCGTGCTGATAATGGAGCCGATCCAGCCCAGGAAGGCCAGGATGAAGCCTAAGAGCTGCAGCCCTGCGTTGGCCATGGCTCGCTTGGGTGCCCGCACTGGCTCAGGGGTGGCAGGTGCAGAAGGCGGAGTTGGCAGGTGCGCACCGGGGACTGCCCGGAGTGACGGAGCCGCGCGGAAGAAGTTAGTGCGGAGAGCCCTGCTCCCTGAGCTGCCACCGGAGAAGCTTTGAGTCCAGGTCCCGTCTGGGTCCGCGCTGGAGTCGGGAGGCGAGAAGCTGCGCGGTTCCCAGGCTCTGGAACTGAGACGCCAACCTCTGGGCGCCGCGATTTAAAGCAGCTCCGCCCCCCACCCGCCGGCTGCCGCGCAGCGCCCCCTGGCGGTTTCAGAGCGGCTCACTGGGAAAGCGGCGGGGAGCGGGAGCCGGTGATGGTCAAGGGGTCTTGGGCAGGAAGGTCCCGCCGGCCCGCGGTGTGGGGACTCCCTGGGCAGGATCATATCTGCCGAGAGCTCCTGTCCTGGACCTCTCATTTCCTTTCTTCCTCTTTTTCTTCTTGTGAGGTTTCTCAAGCTTTCCATACATTAAATATACATTTATCTAAAATGACTGAATGTGGAAACACTAAAAATTCCGAAGGATGAAAAATAGAGGCCTCAGGAGACCCACGGGTTCATTTGCAACTTTATTTCACTTTCTTATTAAAAGGCATTTTCTATCTATTCCCGAGATACCCCCCCTCCCTCACACACACTTCTTTTCCTTTTGTTGATCTCTTTCCTCCTTCTGTCCCCTTCTTCCTTTCATGGTCTCTCCTAGAATCGTGTATTTCTGCGCTGCTTGGAAGAAATCTTTGTACTTTATAGATCAGGAAACTGAGACTCAGAGAGGGAAACAGGGTTTTCATAAGATCATACAGCAAGTTAGTAGCACATCTGTACTTGGTTCTCGGACTACTCTGCTTTCCACTACATCTCAAACTGACCTGAATATATACCCTTGCTCTATGATCATCTTTTATACAAATGCAACCCACCTACCCACCCCTACACACACACACACACACACACACACACACACACACACTCACTCACACTAGCCTCTTTTGTCTCAGAGCAGTGATTACTTCTCAGAGGGATTTGGCCAATGGGCACACTCCATGTCCAGAGGGTGTTTTATTAACGAATTATCAGACAACCATTCATCAAATGTGAGAGCATCTAAAAAGTCTTGCTCCAGAGAAAAGAGAACTGGGCTGGGATTTAGGAAGTCAGCATCCTGGTTCCACGTTTTGCAGGCACTGGCTGGGGCCACCCCCTCAGGTTTTAGTCTGAGTCTGTAGTTTCCCTTCATGGGTTTCTAAAGCTTCCTTCTTTGTCGTTACTCAGAAGTGAACTTGTGGTTTGGAATAATTGAAATGTTTTCCCAACTGCTTTTTGTGTGTGGTTTGAGTGTGATGGGAGGAGAAGCTTCTATGATTTTAGTAAAGATAGAAGCCCATCGGAGGCAGAATAAACATGCTCAGGAGAAAACAAGATATGTTCTCATATTTACTATGAAAACTGTCCATTTGTAACAAGGAAGAAACTGAAAAAAAAAAAAGTTTGGAGCATGAGTGAAGGGAACAAAAAAAAAAAAAGAAAAAAAGAAAAAGAAAAACAAACTTACACCTGGGAGATGCTGATGGAGAAAGGCCAGGTGGGCTATGCATGTGTGTGTGTGTTGGGGGGAGGGCAGGTGGTGCATGAGAATCTCTGTACCTTTTGTTCAACTTTGCTGTGAACCCAAAGCTGCCCTTAAAGTAAAATCTATATAAAAGTAACAACCCTCCCCCTCAAAAAACCTTAACACCCTACCAATCTCATTTCCACCTGGCTATCTCCAGATAGCGTTGGAAGGTTTAAGTCCAAAGGACCAAAGGACAGATCCGCATGGGAATTTGGGGACTAGCAATGAAGAGGGAATACATGAGCCAGATGAAGAGGCTTCATTCAGAGTAAGCCAGATTAAAACAATTATTCTGACCCCAGAAATTCTCCCAGTCAGCTTTGAAGGATAGGACCAAATCCAGGTTGAGTCCCCAGAGTCTGAACCTGAAGTTAGTAATTCTTTCTAGGTCCAGTTGGATGTTCTGTGAGTACCTGTGGGTGTGGGTGAGGGGGTATCATTCACGTTTGATTTGTCTATTCCTCAGGAATATTTAGCTCAAAAGAGTTTCTCAGAATTTGCTATAGGGCTAGAGCACTACCATGTGAGTCATAATATTTTGGTGGTGGTGTTGTTCCAGTCAATTCAGAATTAAAATTGTTTTAAATTTGTTTTTCTTGGTTGCTCAGATTGGAATAATGAAGGCAAGATTTGTGTTCAACAAATAAACTCATTCTCAGATTCTTCTAATTGGCAGTAGGACCTGTTTCTATCAACCTACAGTTTGCAGGGAGCTGAAAGTATGAATTTTGTGGTCAGTATGGTCCCGTGTTTTTGTTTTTGTTTTATGTCAGGGTTGTGTGAGACTGATTACCTCATTGCCCACAGCCTTGTTTGTGAGGCTGTGGTGGATGTTGTTTACTCCCCTCTGTTCCATGCTCATCTCTGGCGTCCCTAATCCTGTCTAGTTTTCTGTCCTTCTCTCAGCATGGGTAGGTGAGATAATGGCTCAGCATAAATCTATCAACTTAAGAGGAAAAACAACTGACAAACATTGGCCTCTAATATATGAAGCATAAATAAATATAAAAATATATTTAGCATAAATAAGCACTGTGATCAAGAAGTTTCTAAAAGGGTGGATGATGGCATGGCAAACATCCTGGCCTGTTGAGTAGCAAGATCTACTATGTCCCCTTAGACAAATTACTTCCTTTCTCCTCTCAATTTTCCTACCAATCAAAATTAGGAATTAACTTCTAAACGGTCGCCCAAGTGTAAAGCTTTATGACTTAAGTAATAATAGCTGACCCTTGTGGGTAACATGCTATTATGACCAGGCATTGAGCTCAGACTTTTATATGCCCTATCCTTTATGTGAAGGTGACAGAGATATAGAGATGTCAAATCACTCACCCAGGATCATGGTTGCTAAATGGCAGCTCTGGGATCCCAAACTGCACACCTCGGCCTGGGGCACAAGCCATTAAGCACAATGCTACAGCAGTTCTCTGTGTGAACCAAATCAACTGAGGACCATCGGTTTTTAGAGCTTAAGCATCCTTAATCATGTGTTCCTACTCAGTGAGGCACTCCATCCTGTGACTGCTCTCCTGCACCTTCCTGTCCTTTCTCCATCTGTTCTGCTGCCCACTAAGATCCACGCCCGGGGAATCCAGATCCTGCAAAGGAAGTGTTGCTGCCAGGGAAGGAGGCATGGATGAAAAGAACAAAGAGTCCGTTGGTTTACTCCATGTCCATTTGTGGCTGATGCCTGGCCTCAGCCACCATCCTGAGAACCAGGAATAAGTTTGAGAGATATGCCCAGAGATGAGCGTAGAGGTGAGACGAAGGGTCATAGAGTGAGGCAGAGAAACACACTCCCTAGGGGTGGTGTGACATTCTCTCAGAAACTAGTGATAAGAGTAAGAAAGACATCGGGAGGTAAATTTTTCCTTCAGTGGCAATGCATGTTTACACTGACTTTTCAGGCTTCTCAGGTAAAAGCAGAATGTATGGACACATTTTTTAATTATTATTCAGGGTTCAGGGTTATTATTATTATTCAGGGTTCGAGAGATGGATCAGAGTACAGATGTGAAATTTAGCATGAATTTTAGTGTTCGAACATGAAGGTTACCAATACTAAAAACTGTTGGGGAGCACCTATTATTACTGCTTGAAATAGTCCTTTGAATCACCTTGCAGTTTTTGAGAGGGTACTGGGGTGTAAGTTGGTACAAGGACAAACTTTTGGAACTTGTCCTATCTCTTACTAATTGAGTAACCGTGGAACATGCGTACAATACACTTGGGCCTTAGATTTTTTTCTCTTTCAAATGAGTAAAACTCTACTTCATCATGTTATGATTGTTAAGCAAGTTCATACATGTGGATTACTTAGAAGGTAGTTAGTACATAAAAAGCACATGAAATGGGGGTGCCGGGGTGGGTCAGTGGGTTAAAGTCTCTGCCTTTGGCTCAGGTCATGATCCCAGGGTTCTGAGATCAAGCCCTACATCGGGCTCCCTGCTCATCAGGGAGCCTGCTTCCCCCTCTCCCTCTGCCTGCTGCTCTGCCTGCTTGTGCTCTCTCTGTATCAAATAAATAAATAAATAAAATCTTAAAAAAAAAAAAAGAAACACAGGAAATGGGCTTATTCCTTATTATTATTTCAAGCACATCAGATATTTCTAATTTGCTAACGCTGCCATTTACAAATGATCCTCACATGTGTCCAGGAAGTCTCTTTTTCTTGCCTGGATTCTATCAGAATCCTACTTAATGTCACAGTTAAATCATGGTGACAGGGTATATGGGGTTTCCAGCAGGTGGATACAATCTTGTATTCAGAAATGGACAAGGCAGCAAGGAAAGGGATGGGGGCTTTAGACAAGATTTTCAAGCCCCTTCTCCTGACCCTGGACAGCTTTTCTCTCTGTGTAGTTTCCATGGTGATGACTGAAGGCTGAGGGGCTCTGTGGAGGGGTGGGCCAAGAGCAGAGGGAAGATGGAGATGTGGTGCCAAAGAACTCTCTTGCAGATCAGCGTGGCTCTTCAGATGATCAGGCAGAAAAAATCCTTGGTTTGAGATTCTTATTAAGTCTCTACCTTATCATGCGGTATACCACTCCCCCTTACGTCCTCCCCTCAGCTCCCAACCTGGCAGTTCTATCTCTTCAGAAAAGGGAAAAACAAAGGTGGGATTTTTGCAAAATCTGGTCTTTGAATTATAAAAATTTATTTTCAAGAAAGTGAAGGATTCTTCCCTTGTTTTATCCCTTTGCTTTTATTCTGTTTGGGAAAAGGTTTCCTTGTAATCATTACAGACACTAGAAACACTCCACTAATTTCATCATCAAGAATCAAGGTCAAATTACTAATGATATTTTACTTTTAGTCTCTGTAATGTAATTCCAACTATATTAGTCAGGCTTCTCCACAGAAACAGAACTAATAGGAGCTATGTATACATCTGTATCTTTATCTATCTCTGTATATCTCTCTTCATCTATCTTCCTAGATATCTCTGCATTTGATAAGCTGTTTGGCATGACATTAAACAGAGACAGAGACAGAGTTATAGAATGAGATAAAGAGCTAGATCAATTTTAAGGAATTGGCTCATACAAGAGCTGTCAAGTCTCAAATTGATA